ATGGAGCCCTGAGATTTGCTTTAGTTATAAATCTCTTATGTAACACCTTCGACTTGACAACTGATTGATTCTTATTTTGGGGTACATGCTCTTCTTGGCCAGAGATTAGGATTGAACCAGTACAAAGTCTTCTTCCATTTTCAAAATTTAATGTACAAGCATTGTTTGGTCCTGTACATTATTTTTGCATGCTGAAGACAATATCATGGAATATCTTGTGATAATTATAATCGGCAACGAGGTAGCAACCATCATTTTGATAATGTTCGTCTGTAGTTCAAGATTGGAAGCATTTGTATGTATGTAAATTACCATGCCTTGTGCCATATCGCTGTTGCAGATGTTTCCATAATATGTGTCATTCTTTTAATTTAATTTGTTAATTATTTTGTTTTTGTCTGTTGCTCATTTAATCATTAATCTCTCTCTCTCTCTCTCTCTCTCTCTCTCTCTCTGTGTGTGTGTGTATATATATATATATGTGTGTGTGTGTGTGTGTGTGTGTGTGTGTGTGGATAGTATTTGAATTTTATTTGTTAATTATTTTGTTTTTGTTTGTTGCTCATTTAATCATTAATCTCTCTCTCGCTATCTCGATATAAATATATATATATATATATATATATATATATATATATATATATATAATATACGTGTGTGTGTCTGTGTGTGTGTCTGTGTGTGTGTGGTATTTGTAATTTTTGCAATCGTATATGGATGACTTGATATTTTTGATGACTGGAGAATGACTATCAATTCCTAGGACGACAGCAAAAAACAGTCTGTGTAATTCTTTGAATTTTATTTTATTTGATAATTTTCCCTTGTTGCTTGTTGCTCTAGACTGTGATGTTTGTACCTATCCTTCATTTTGCCTTGTGTATTTTGTTTTCCCCGTTGCTATTAACTTCTTACTTCAGTCCCTTTCCACAACTTAATTCATGTGAAATGTGTTTACATTAGACCGCTGCTTATCAATGCTGAAAAATTGACGCGACAAGAGTGCATTAAGTTTTACCACACAATTTTTTAGTTGGCATTAGACATCAGAACATGTCATAACTTAATATGAATTCTTTTGTATTTCACGTGATTTTTCCCAACAGGTTAATACGAGTTGTTAGGCTATCGTCCGGTTCACACTCCTTCCATGTCTATTGATCCCTTGTTCCTTGATCAGAATATGGTTTACCGGTTCTCTGTCGTTTCTCTACCAAGACCATAATGATTTTACTGTCTCTAAATTTTTATGTGATCGGACTACACAGTGGCTATGCCTTTCCATCGTGAGAGGACCAGGTTGTCAGTTTACTGGCTGCTGCTTCCGACTGCTCGTTAAGAGCCCAAACACTTTGGTAACGCTTAGAGTGGCTGCTCCGATCAACAATCGCATAATATCTGTAGTGCCATGTCGCCAGGTGTCTATGCATTTATTTCCGGTGGTCAACCCTAAGGTTGCATTATGCTCTGTTCTCGGACACGCACTGGCTGATCCGTATTGCCAATAACGACAGATAGTGACAATTATGGTGGTCTTTTTCCATTCTTCTCAAAACATATCTCATCGAAATCAAAATAAAAAGAAATAAAATTAAACCAGCTGACAAAAAAAAAAACACCTACCCACCTCAGTCTTTCTTTCCCCAATATTCGTGGTATCAGTTCCAACCTCTGCAGCATAGAATATTTTCTCCTGGTACGATCGCCAGATATCTTTGTGAAACCAACTTGAATTCTTCCATTGCTTCCAATTAATTCTTGCTTCCAAATTATTTTCCCCTTTGCTTAAAAAAATTCCAGCATTCACATGCATAGCCTTGGTGTTTATATCCAGGATAATCTTCCGATGACCAGCGAATTGTCTCTCGAGGCCGCCGACTACAATTTCATGTGATGCCGTCTTTCGGTACTAAACTCTGTCAGCTATCTCTTTTTCCTTTATCGCCTTCCCTACTCAAGAGTACAGTATATTAGACGCAATAGCTGACAGTATAGAAAAGGCGTTTTCTTTCCATCCATCTGCTATCATCTTTCTCTTCGGTGAATTTAATGCTCCCCACAACACGTAGCTGAAATATTCCAAAGGTTCTGATGTTGCCGGTATACAGAGATTAAATTTTTTTCATTACCCAATCCATCACTCAAATTGCGAACTTCTCTACGTAACGGGATTCTCTACCGGATCTATTTCTTACCTCCTCTTTTCACTCTTGCCGAGCTTCACAATACTGCCCTCTTGCTAACACGGTCCACTCTGTGGTAGCTACTGATATCTCTTTCCAAGCATCCTTTAAACAGAAACCCGCTATCCATAAGGCCACTTTCCGTTGATTACGTTGATTAGGACTCATTCCGGGATTTTCTTCGTGACGCCCCTTGGACCAATATCTTCAACTTTCCAATTGAAAATTGCCCCAATGAGGTTTCTTCATCCATTCTTGGAAATACCAGGTGAAACCGCAATCCTCTCTATGCTCGGACCACTATTTCCGGCTATACCAACGGGACAGCTTTCGTCATGATAAGTACTCTGGAGAACAGTCTGACCCATCTGTTGGCCTATCAGCCTTCTATTCCTGTTTTGGGAAACTCCTAGAGGCCTTAATTAATACTGAATTGGTTCATCATATCTCATCACAGGGCCTTTTTTCAGACAAGTAATAGGGTTTTCGTTTCTCAAAGTCAACTGCTGATATACAACGGTAATAGCGGAAAGAGTCGATGATATGCTAGATAAAAACGGTGAATCCTGAGCTGTAGTTTTGGACATTTCGAAAGCCTTTGATAGGTTTTGGCATACAGGTCTGCTTCATAAGCTAAAAAGTTACGGTGTCTCCGGTCAGATTTTAAAACTGATCCAGTCGTTCCTATCACATCATGAAATGAAAGTTGTCCTGAACGGCCACTCGTCTACATCCTTTCGAACTAACGCGGATGACATCAGCTCTCAACAATGCTGATGAATACCATTTACTCCTGCCTCGAAACTAAAACTGGTCAGTCCGTCAAGGTCAAAATGGCCGCTGGTGTACAAAACGACTTCAAGAGCGTCGTTAACTGGGGGAAATGATGTCTTGTCAATTCTAACGACTCTAAAACTAACCTTCTCTCTATTAATACTCTGAAATACCTCTCTCTGTCTTCCATCATCATGGCTGATGCTATCCTCCAGAAAAGTGTCTTATCGCGACTTCTCGAACTAACGTTTTCAGCTGACATGAAATGGGAAGACTATATCGAATCGTCTGCTAGATCAGCTGCTGAGAAAGTCGGTTCACTGTGTTGGACGAGACAATTTTTCTCCTAAATCTATCTTGAATTGCTGTAAGTTTACTATTCGCCCATGCTTAGAATATTGCTGTCATATATAGTCCGATGCCCTTGCGATGTACCTGGAGCGCTTTGATAAGATCCAAAGAAGAATCAGCAATATAATTGGTCCTGATCTGGCGGCTCAGTTTCAGTACCTTCCCCACCGCCAAAAGGTTCCCTTTCTGTGCTTTATTTTATAAAGATTTTCATGGCAACTTTTCGGATTAGCTCTTTACTGTGGTACCGAGAGTGTATGAATTTAACCGCAATACCAGAGTGGTGTCAAGCGCACATCAATTTACATTTGAGCTAGTTAGATATAGCCGTAATTTCTACGCTGACAGTTTCTTTTCTCACACCTCTTGCTTCCGGCTCTATCTTTTCCACCCAACATTAATCTGCAACAATTTAAATCTAATCTCTATCTACTGAATTCCTGAATGCTATTTTCTCTTTCTTTCCTTTATAACGATCCTAATTCCTCTACGTCCTATTACACCTTGCATGTTAGTGGCTTTACTATCTTGCATCGGGTGACACTGATTATATATATATATATATATATATATATATATATATATAAAAGTGAACATAGAAGTCAACACTTAGAGGCGACAGTCTGTTTAATGCTAGATGCAATCGTCAGGCCACGAGTGCTGTTATTTTACTCGGCTATTTATATATACGGGTCAGTGGTGCATTGTAGGTAGTCTATTTTGACTTCTATGTTCACTTTTATATTTACACACGCTCTATCTCTGATATTGAGCAATTCATCCCATAAATATAGCACATCTTAAGACTATATTTCTTCATATATATATATATATATATATATATATATATAATAGTAATTAAGATTACATTCGGTTATTGATCATTTTCACCTTGTAAAATGAAATAAAATTTACAAGGATTTTTCAAACCAGTCAATGTATGATTGAAATGAAATTAGCCAAACGGAAGAAGCAAAGAAGGGAAGGAAAATGAAAAAAAGAGCAAGAAAAAATAATCATTAACCCAAGTAATCTTAATTCCTACTATATAAAATACGTTGGTCTGTTTAAATTAAAGTATTAAGCTCTATGTGTGAATTAGTTTTAATATTTTATATTTTATATTTCATATTGTATTAATAAGATTCACTTGATTATATATCAACGGTTTATTACCAACATATTATATATATATATATATATATATATATATATATATATATATATATATATATATATATATATAATGAATAAAAAATATAGTTTTACGGTATGCTTTATTTATAGCTTAAAGTGCTCTATATCAGGGATAGAGCGTATGTAAATTATAAAAATGAACATTGGGGTAAATACCCGGCGGTGAGATGATGGGGACGACATGATTTAAAATAATGTTATCAGTTGATTCTCAAATCAACTCATCGTGGGTTTGGCTTTTAGTCCTGCTAGGGCATTACATTCTTTTGAGTGGGTGTGGCAATGTTAGGCGCTTCAGTTTGGGCAAGGTCAGATGAGACATTAGATGCCAAGTTCTGATTATCTAAATTTTTGTTGCTGCTCCAATGTGTGTGTGCGTGTGTGTGTTAGAGAGAGAGAGACCTTAACAAGTTTGTATTATGCACTGTCATAATGTTTAACTGATCTAATAACTTCAAGATAGATATTATAATGGATTAATGAAAGATTTTGTACAGAAATAGATAGATAGATAGATAGATAGATAGATAGATAAACATACTAGAATAGATAGATAGATAGATAGATAGATAGATAGATAGATAGATAGATACCAAACATACTACAATAGGTAGGTAGGTAGGTAGGTATGTAGGTATGTAGGTAGGTAGGTATTATTACTTTGTAACTGAGTTTTATAATGTAGAAACAGGACTGGCATGGAAAACGATGAATGTGTTACGTCCTAAAAATGAAGTCCTAACACAAGCCAAAGCGACTTTCCTTTTTCTTAAATCTAGATCCAATAAAAGTTTCTATTTTCGATTATTCCCCGGCCGTAAAGAGAGATTTCAACCATATATATATATATATATATATATATATATATATATATATATATATATATATCAAGGATAGGCACGCAACCGACGATCAACTAATATCTAAGCGGCCATGCAGGTAATTGACTTTTGGCGCCGGTCCTTATCGAAAAATATTAATGAAAGTTCTTATCTTCTATGCGTTCACGATTCCAGACATTCTAAAGACGTCAAGGCTTCGATGTTGGTGGAGGATCGCGAATGCTTTACATCTGACGCTTAGCGTTCTTTCTTTTCCCGCTTATACAGCCAGATATGTTAACTTGGGTGATTGTCATTTTGTGTCTTCTTTAATCTCCCCTTTTCTTCTGTCATCTATTTTCGGTGACGCTCGTTTCATAAGCCGTTTGGGGAATTGCTTGTTGCAGAATGGTTCAAGTTATTAAACGTTACTTCTTCTTCCCAAAGTATTTGCTCGTTAAACGTGTTCCTCCTCATTGAACAGTCACAGCTTCCTTTTTTTTTTTTTTCCTGTTCTTTTTATCTTTTTTTTTTTGTGTTCCTTTACTGATTAGCTGTATTTTTATTGGCTAATCTAATTTGGCATTCATTTTGACCTCGGATGAGATATAGGAAGACATTTTTTTTTATGTCTTGATAAATGTAATCGGTTATTTTCTATCTTCTTATTAAAAGGGACGTCTTATTACTTTGTGCATTTAGGTTGTTAACACAAATAGTAATGGTGAAAATTGACTGTTTCCTTACAGGGAACATTCGCTATTCATTAACTGGACAGTTCACGTTAATGTCGGTTGAAATTTATAACATGTTTTTATTAAAACAGTTTTTCCGGAAATTAAATATCCCAAGTCGACTAATATCTTGCACTAATGGGAGTTTCGTTCTAAAACTTTTGTCAAAGTTTAACATTATCATTATATCATTATTTTCGTTTCTAATTACATGTGATACTCACTTTTATTGAAGTGTTCAGCTGATGTACTTTTTGTTATTTAGTAAAAAAAAAAAAAAAAAAAAAAACTTTATGACTTTGTATCGCTCGGCTGTTGGAACTGTTGATGAATTTTCTCTCTTGAGTTTCTTTTTCCTTTACACTACCAAAATGGACGATTCTTTCATTTATGAAATAATTTGTATATTGTCGCTCATTTAGCAGGTTTTTAAAATTGGTTAAATTGTTGTATTTTCAATTTCTCATACATCTAAGGGTTAATTAATACCGAAATCTAAATATTTTGTACGCACAATATTTACATATATATCGCCATATTTATTATTACACGTGGCACAGTGGATAAAGGTGTTAGTTAGATCCAGTGACCGGACCCAAAGAGTATGAGTTCAATACCTGGTTAAGGCAGTGGAGAACATGGAGAAGGGAAATATAAGGAGATAGCTGATAACTGACATTAAACGTGGAACTAGAACAGTCTACCCCAGTGAGTGAAATAAAGGGTTCAGTTCGACATTCCAACTACCTGAAGAAGGCCGGAGCGTACAACAGCCGAAATGTTGTAATAAATATGGCGACAAAGATGAGGACAATAGTCCGAATAATGTAAATAGTGTACATAATAACTCATCTCAGAAATAAAGACAGTTTTTGTACGCACTTTTATTTTATTTTTGGAGATAATAATAGTTTACAGATATAAGTCTTACTAATTAATCCAAAGTTTGAGGGAAGAAGTGGATTCATATATTTTCCAAGGGTATATGCGCCTAAGTGAATACAATGAACCCAAGTGGAAATTGAACTCGTCTCTCCGATTGACAATTCAGAGTCATTAACCACACAGCACCTAGTATTCTTCAAGCCGTCATTCATCTAAATACAGATCAGTTTCGACGTTGCTTAACTTCGACGTTTATATTCGATATCTATAAAATAAGTATGGCTGACAATGCAACTACCCGATCACCACATATAAATATGGAACCTCTTGCATTACAACTGTTACTATGAATTGGTTGGTCTGATTAACATACTTTCCACTATTTCTTTTTCTGTAATTTATGTGTGCGTAGCTGAGTGGGTGGAAGGATTTTTGAAGATGATTTTCCTGATAATATCTCCCTTCGGAGTCGACTCATGCGTGCGGCATTTGCTGTAAGTCCCGGAAAATCATACTAAGGGTTGGCCCATTTGAAATTGGATTGACGAGACTGCTTGGAAGTCATCGCTGATTGTGTCAGCATGAAGTCACAATGTCAAGAAGCGCGTGTACCAGTAAAATGCGACCATAACTTGGGAGCTGATCGTTCTGCTGACCTATCTCTAACAACTCATTGTAGGGGAATGACTGGCTGGTCACATTCAATACAAACAAAACTAGAAGATGAGACGGGAATTGGAGTACTGCTGCCCTATCTGTGATGGAGCTGGTCAGTCTTCACTTCCCAAGTTTGATAGAGTCGAAAAGTCTTTACGCGCCCTTGTGGGTGATGGATTATTTTCCATGTCACAGCCCCTTTCCCACTGACGAAAAGTTGCAAACATCTCGCTAATCTATAGCTATTTCCATGGAAAATGTTCTAACAAGCTACATTCCTTACTTCCATCAGTTCATGCCTTCATAGCTAAGACTGGCTATGTAATATACACTAACCAAACTGGCTATGTAATATACACAAACCAAACTCATTCCCCTCTTATTCCATTAGTACCATTCGAACAACTTCTTACCACTAATCGGTACTCTGTGGAATCGACTCCCAAGGGAATGCTTCCCCGACCACTAAACCTTTTCAAGTTTAACGTGAACCATCTTTCCCACATAACCTCTTAATCTGCGCCTCTTACGCTTTCCACTCAGGCATCGAAATCCTTCAGTAACACTCTACATCTAGTGTTTCTTGAGCCTTGCATAAGAAGAAAATTTTTAAATAATTGAGTGTACAGGAATTCTTCCACTTTTTATCTCCACAGATTATGCACACTTTCCCAGAAACTGTATTCAAGTTTGTCTAGCATCGCTGCAGTATAAAACACATATAAACCTATGACAATATTTATAAACATAAATGTGTCTGAGCAGGTGTCTTCAACATGGATTTTCTAGCAACCATAGCAAGCCAATATACTCAAAAAAGACACGCAAGCGATTATGAGTATAGGGTGTTCCAATAAATTGGAGCGATTTTAAATGGGAATTAAGTTTAAGCGTCTAATGATTTTTTTTTCTTTCAGATTTAACAACTTAAGTCTTTGGCAATTTCAACAATGGAAAGATTAACAATCAAACAATGTGCTAAAATTATCGAAGCCTATTACAAAAATAGTATAAATTTTGCGTTGCCCCTTGGACCAGAACCTGGTTGTGTTGTAGATTCTGCTTCTCGGCTGATTACTATGTCAAGATACAGAAGAAATTCGTGTAGTCGAAAAGTGAAAATAGTTGAAGAAATCATTGTTTTATTCTTGTAGTTCAATGTTCATGTCTTTTATCAGATTTTATAAAATGAATAGAAGAAAGCGAAGAGTGTCAAATAGCGTTAGTTCATCGCATCGCTGACGCAGGATTAAGTAACGCTAAATGGCGAAACGCTTCCTCTTTTCTGGAGCATGAACTCCTTCCTGACCGCTACCTTAACTAAATAAACTCCTTAGTCTTCGACTGGAATATTTAGGTCAAGACTGGTCGGAAAGAGAGAGGAGTGTTTGTCCCTAAGTGCATTGAGATGCATTAAAGCTTCATTCTTGGATTAACTTCAGAAGATTAACTTCATCAAGCATAGAATTAAAGCAGCATACAAAATGGCTAAAGAAAAGCCCAGCAATATACTATAAGGGGTCATGTGACATTGTCTAGATAAGAATTAAATTCAAAAACCCATCCTCTTTTCTTCTGCAACATTATTCAGACAACACTTGGCTTGCTTCATTCAGTAATAATCCTAGACAGTGCCACCAGGTTACGGAAAAGGAAAGCCATCAAACTTAACAGAATATCATGTTACCTCCAGAAGCTAAAGAGAGACATTTATGTTTTTAATAAAACAATGGGAATAAAGCAGAAACAAATAGAGGTTTGTAGACTTTAATTCTCTGCAGACTTTTAACAGCCTGTATTAGTTCGTATCTGTGTCTTTCCTTAGTTCGTTAATGGTTTCCGGTTCATTTATTTGTCTTTCGTGCTATATAGCTACCAGTATGACGTCAGAATTAGAGGTTTAATTTTAGCCAATGGAGAGGTTTCTTATATTTGCTGTGTACTATAAACTTAAAAAAAGCATAATCCCTATTTTCACTCGTATTCCTTCCCATTTATCTAGGATTTATTTAACCCTTTTTAAGAATTGTTTTCATTGCAATATAGTTAATTGTTGCCGATTTTATACAATAAACATTATCCATGAAAGGTTCTCATGAAAAATGTCCCCTTTCATGAAGTCTTGTGCCTTAGGGAACATTCAATGCTATTGTAGCATAGGATTCATTCCAGGAAATACCAAATATTTTGAATCGAATTTAATCCCAGGAAGAAATATTTATTCTAAGAGATGTTGAACTGTATCGGTCCCAATATGTACTAGGCCCCTTTCAGCTGATACCAAAATAGACTTTGAACTAAATCTCACAGCAGAGCAACAGAGAAGCCAAGTGCATCATAGGAGAAGGTTCCTCCTAGACACTAACTGCAGGTTTGCGCCTTACAGGACGTTAGCTTCTGTCCACTGCTTTGCTTAGGATGAGCACAAGTGGAACAAGAAGATATAATGTTTGATGTGTTTTGCTTTACGGCATATCAACCTCAATGGGTTATTTAATGCCGACAAGATTCTTATTGCTGCTAACAATTTTTCTTCAAAAATTTATTGCTGGTAATAATTTTTACAAAGTATTTCTGGTATTAAAACGTATTTTTACAGTTCCATTGTGTTTTGAGCCCAGTTTGGGGATTAACTATTTACCCATAGCTGGGACCCTAACAGGGTGGACCTGTGAATACCAGCAATTAAGAGATGGTTCCACGCTCCTCAAACCAGAGGCCTTGCTGCCGGACGTAGTTTATCGCCTTACCCAGGACGTGGATGTAGTTTATTGTCATACCCAGGACGGAGAAGATATATAAGTATCCCACCTAAGAGGAAGAAGACCTAGAGGATCTCACATAACTGCAAGAAGAAGCATAAACATCCGGAGAAATCCTCCTAAATCATACCTGCTGATATTAATTGATAAAGACAGGTGATGAAGAAGCAATTATTTTAAGTCTGAGGGATTTAGTCTTGAGCTCTATCTGTTGAACAATAGCATTGACATTTCATTTAATCATTCTATTTAGAATAGCCCTTTCCACATGTTAAACTCCCTTCCGATTTCTGACTTCCCTGATAACTACAATCTTCATTTAAATGCAAAGTCAATCGCTATCTTTCATCTTCTTGAAGCCTGTTCCTTTTTTTTTCCTTTCCTCAGTCCCCCCCCCCATTTTTAATTTTCTCATTCATTTTCACACCGGGTAGCTCACTACCTTCTAATAGGACTGTCTCCTTGGTTGGAGTGAAATGATTAAAAAAAACATGCAACAAAGGTAAAGATTATCTTCACGGAGAGAAATCGTTAATATTTCAATAAAACCTTTCCAATATGCGATAGACATTCGATTTCGAAATATTTAACTCACGAACCGCTTGCTGTGAAGATTGTTTTTGGAGATTGATGGTAATTTTCAAGTACCTTTAATTCCCTTTTAGTTAACATGGCTTGCTCTTAGTCATTATGGACATTTTTATATTTTTTCCCTCCGTTTCACACTTTTCTCTAATGTTTCTAATGCTGTTTTTTTTAAAATCCATTTTAAAATGCCTTTCCATGATGTTCTTCCATTCCCAATAGCACTTGACGATAAATTTTCTTTACTCAAAATATATTTCATTTTAGCCATTATTTTTAAACAGTTGCACTTAAAAAAATTAAAAAAATAAACTATTAAGTGAATTCTGTAAAAATCTATTAAACACATTTGTTTACTGGCTATATGTTATTTCTGGCTGTTGTTTGATGCTGCTCAAAATACTCATGTGTAAGTGCCATCCTATTTTTCCAGTGTAAGGACACAATATGTTGAAAGAGAAAATAAACAAGAAGCCATGAATCATCTTATACCACGGGATCCAAATTATGGGGAAAATCAAGAATTAGACAAGAGTCTTCATCGATCAACCGATAAACAGCACCAGAATTAGAAAAGAGAATTGGTTGGAACTATGGTAATGATAATAAAGGTTGTTCCAATAACTTGGACCGATTTTCAATGTGAATTAAGTTTAAGCGTCTGATTTTCTTTCTTTTTCTTTCAGATTTGGCGGATATTTGGGTGATATTATTTTTCACACATAATTGCCATGACTTAAATAACACGATCCAATAGAGAAATAAATAAATTCTCACCAATAACACTGATTTATTTACTGCTGACTTTGATCCGTCTGAATGAAACACCCTTTATTAACCCTTTCTTTATGTGAAAACAGTCGACATTACTTGACCGAACAGCCAGTGCGATTCGAGTTACGCTTTTATTTACTCCCGGGCTGGGTTCAAAGTGTAGTAATTGTCCTCGCACGGAAAAACTACACAGCAATACCTCTCTCATTGCACTAAATAAGGGAGATCGATGGTAATACTGACACCAGCGCAGTCTATGGTTGCAGAGAATGATCTATTTTGGGACCTGGCCGGTTACACGCGCTCGGGCGCCCCGCATCTTGACATCTTAACAGCGTTGGGTAGCAAGTAAATACTAAGTTTAGTATCTGCCTTCGGGCGGACAATCTACTTTTAATCTCGTAATTGCTTTTTTGTCTTCGGACAGAACACAACAAATAAATGAGTGATTCCTGGTCCCGGGGATTCCAACTCTGTGGCAGCACCTCCCTCATTACACCAAAGAAGAGGTTTCGGTGAAATATCGACGCCAACTTGACTTTGGTTACGGTGATTGGAAAAATTTTGCCCTTAGCCCAGGTGCACGCGCTTTTGCTCCTCTCTGTGAACTGGCCTTGTGCCATATCCTGTCACCGTATTCGAACGAGTATTCTCCTCATTTCGAATAGTAATGGTATTATTAGTCGTTTCCTGAGGTGGAAACATTCGTAATTAATTGACCGAACAGCCAGTGCTACCCGAGATATGCTTCTTTTCACTCCTGCCCACATGGCTGAGATGAGATGATAATCCATATTATCCTTTTCCTTATAAGGAAACATTCGGCAATCATTGACCGAGCAATGTTACTCGAGTTACGCTTTCTTCTGTTCTTTGTTCATCGGGCAGGGATCAAAGTGTAGTATCTGTTCACCTCCTCTTTAATGGTAATGGTAATATTAGCCGTTTCCTTATAAGGAAACATACCGCATTCATTGATTGGGCAATCAGTGCTGAAATTTATAAAATGTTACTATCAAAGCAATTTTCAGGGGATAGGTTTCTCAAATTCACTGCCCTTTTGTGACAGAAAGGGATGGAAAGAAGCGATCAGTTTTCATTTGAGGATGATAAGAGAGATGGATAGGGAGTAAACATTTAATGTAGTTACACTCTGGGGGTAAGCTTTTTGCGTGTATTGATACGATGGGTCACTGAAAATTATTGGTCCAGCCCACTTCCCAAAAGTGAACCAAATGAAGAAACACTGGATTATCTTTTGAGGTTGTTGTTGATCGATATATATATATATATATATATATATATATATATATATATATATATATATATATATATATATTTCAGCACAGTAGGTTGGCTCTGTGTGGGAGATGAACAAAGACATATGAACCATAGCGAGCGTCTGCAAAGGCTAGCAGCCCTAATAGACAGGTATCCTCGATTACGACTGGCTAGTTATTTTATATATATATATATATATATATATATATATATATATATATATAAAATAGCTGGACACTCGTATTCAAGATACCCGTCTATTAGGCGGCTAGCCAATCCCTTATTGCAGGCGCTCACTCGGGAATATATGTGTTTGTTCAACACCGACAACCTTTGATTTTTACTGCAACTATGCTGTGAAATATATATATATATATATATATATATATATATATATATATATATATATATATATATATATATGATCGTTTTCAGATAATTCTTCCATCAGTTGAATGTCAGAGTAGATTGCGTTCTCTTGTCTTGAGATAGCAACCAGTCAAGGAGTAGAAAAATTTTGAATTGAAAACCACTCCAAAGACGGATCGGCTCCGTCAGGCTATTTTGCCATAGACATAGCACTTCAGTACATGCATTGCCTCTACGAGATTTTATTTAAAATAACTTTGCCGGGAGCCGGCAAAACACCTTTTTACAACTTAGTTGTAAACGTTGCAGACACATTGTAGCAACGCCATTTTGTTAGCTGGACCTAAACGTTTGAAATATATTTCCACTTCGTATTTATATACTTAACGAGACAAATGAATGTTCTTTCTTTCTTTCTTTCTTTCTTTCTTTCTTTCTTTCTTTCTTTCTTTCGTTTGTTCTTTCCTTTCTTTCTTTCGTTTGTGCTTTTTCATGGGAATACTGTTGAGGGATTTGTCTCTTTTACAATGTCATTTGTTTCGCTATTTTTAAAATAACTTCTTACCTCTGTCCGTGAACTTAAAACTATTAGCTTCAGTAAGATCGATTGGAATCGTTTGAGAAATGTGATTTACTTCTTTTGTTTAACTGCGAAAAATAAGAGTTAGAAATGTGCCCGGCCAGTTTTAAGAGAGTTAGTAAATGAGGGTAATGAATAAAAAGAGAAAGGTACTAAAAAGATGAATTTACAAGTCGGACATATAAACGGATTTGAATTGGGAAGAGAGAAGTGAAGAAAGGTAGAGAACAGTAAAAAAGAAAGAAAGAAAAAAGAAAGAAAGACCCGAAAGAAAGAGTAGAGATGGAAAAAGAAGGAAAGAAAGTACAGAAAAAAGAAGAGAGAAAAAAAGTAAGAGCATAATGGAAGAAAAGAGTAAAGAGAGCAAAAGAAAGAAAGAAAGAAAGAAAGAAAGAAAGAAAGAAAGAAAGAATAAGGGGAGATGGGGAAAGAAAGAAAGAGCAGAAAGAAACAGTAGAGATGTAGAACGAAATAAAGAAAGAAAGAATAAAGAAAGAAATAAAGAAAGAAAAGAGTAAAGAGATCAAAAGAAAGAAAGAAAAAGAATGAGAAAGAAAGAAAGAAAGAAAAGAGTAAAGAGATCAAAAGAAAGAAAGAAAAAGAATGAGAAAGAAAGAAAGAAAGAAAGAAAAGAGTAAAGAGATCAAAAGAAAGAAAGGAAAAGAATGAGAAAGAAAGAAAGAAAGAAAGAAAGAAAAGAAAGAAAGAAAAAAGTAAAGAGATCAAAAGAAAGAAAGAAAAAGAATGAGAAAGAAAGAAAGAAAAGAGTAAAGAGATCAAAAGAAAGAAAGAAAAAGAATGAGAAAGAAAGAAAGAAAGAAAGAAAGAAAGAAAGAAAAAAGTAAAGAGATCAAAAGAAAGAAAGAAAAAGAATGAGAAAGAAAGAAAGAAAGAAAGAAAAAAGAAAGAAAAGATTAAAGAGATCAAAAGAAAGAAAGAAAAAGAAAGAAAGAGTCGAGATGTAAAAAGAAAGAAATAGCAGAAAGAAAGATTGAGTAAAGATAGTTCCTTGCAGAAGATGCAGCTATTGATTCGATGCAGTTGTTCCACCTCAAGTCATTGGAAAACGTAAGGCCGAGAAAACGCAGTGAGACACTCTCACGGAGTCGAGCATCAACCATGCTGCTGGGGGTAAGAGGAGTTTCTCTATGGCGGTTAAATGAGAACAATTTAGTCTTGAGGCATTAAAGTTTACAAGACCCAGTTAACAACTAATTAGAGATCCTTGTTTAACATGAACGTCAACAGATTTCTTTTTTCGGAGATTTTTCATGCAAATATGTTTCTAATACCCAGTAGGTGTTATAGCTCTTTCCGGTATTGATCGGGGTTTCCTGCCTAACCTTTTATTAGTAATATTATTAGTTTGGTTATGTCATCATTTTCTCATCAAGATAATTATGATATCCATTTTAGCTGTTTCAAGTGCTTTAATTATTTGATTTCTGTCATTTTAGCACAAATCTTTGTTTGTGGTTCTGTAGCGCCAGTCCATGAAGTCTGAAGAAGGATGATCCTTGCTAATCTACCATTCCATCGAAGCCAACATTAAGATCTGAGAATACGGTTGTACACGGCTGGCGCGGGTTTGAGGCGATCCATGTGAATGTTTCGATAAGTCAAACCTTGCTTTTACACCTAAAATCGACAGGAAGATGTCGAGAGACATGTTTACCCACGTTATAAAAAGAGGCGACATATAAAAAAGATGTGGTAATGATTTTAAAAAATGACTAAGTCTTTTTTTTTAAGCGCAATTTTTTTCTATTTTGTTTTTATTCACATACAACTTATATCTATTCTCTCTTTGATATAAAAGTATTTGCATATCTCCACATTTACGAATCAGAGGCTTGTAAAATCCATTGCATCGATTTTACATAGGCTTACCAGACATCCAGGTTTGATGGGGTCTACCCAGCTTCTGGTGTTTGTCCCAGTGTTCCACGGAATCAGTGGTTTGTAAATCTTTCTGCGATCGTATCATATTACTTCCTTATTATGAAGATACGCCACACACTTTTCCTCCTTATCCTGAATATAGGCTCTACACCCTACTCGAAACTTAATACCATTTTGATGACATAAAAAAAAAAAAACAGATAATAAAACTAGTATTTATTTGCCGCTGGCAAGATGTGACACAAGGTTAATGTGTGGAGCCCGAGCGCGTACAGCCGAGCTTTGTTCAAAAATGGCGCAGCCCTGTCGGCTTCACCAGCACCGATGTTACTACCGATCTCCACTATTTAGTGTAATGAGGGAGATACTATCGAGGGTAGCTGTTCACCAAAACCGGTCACCTCTCAGCAATATTTTCGGTTATGCTCTGTCCGAAGACAGACACACAACTGACAGATAAGATGTTGGCCTCTGATAGTGCTGTGAAACTTAGGAATATTATTATTTCCACAAACTATACACCAATATTCTTGAAAAACAAAATAAAACAAGAATAACCTTTTCTTTGGGGAGGCTTCTTCTTTTTCAAACTTTCATTTTTAGATGCTATGAATAATAGTGGCGACGACTAATCGTGTTTTCTCAGCATTGTCAGACTATTTTTCTCCTTTTTTGAAATACTGGCTTTGCCAATTTTGTTATTTTAATTTAAAATCTCGCCACACCTGGAACTACTCTCCGCGACACACAAGGGTGTTAAGACAACCTCGATGAAAAGCACAACACTATAGATATATAAGATATACAACCGTTGTGCAAATTAATTGAAACAACCGCTTTAGTTTCCTTTCTTTCACGATACAGTCAGTTTTACACGCACTAGAGTGACAGGGTGTAATCGATTTCTATTTTTTCCTCAGATTAGGTCATTTGCAGTGGCGTGCAGTAATTTGAATCTACTTTCGGGGTGTATGATGAAATTTGTTTGGTCTTGAAAATTACTGAGTCATCCGTGATTGCATCAGTTTTTTATCACGTCCAAACAATATTGTCTTGACTGTTGATTAGTTGTCTTACAGCAATTCTTTGCAATGGACGGTACTCCAAGAAAGCGTACGAAAATTGTAACGCGGCACGAACCCAGTGGCAAGCCTTAACAGTGAGCAAATCAAATTACTATAGACCGGCACAGAATTTTTCCTGATTTAAATCCAATTGAGAACCTGTTCTCAATCTTCAAGGAACGACTCCATGAAATGGAGATACGAAATACTAACATGTGCACTGGGTCATGATTTATTGGAAAAATATGAAAAAAAAGAAAATAATAACACAATTATTCGTTTTGTTTCAATTAATTTGTACAAGGGTGTTTATGTATTACTATGAAAAGTTACAAAATCTTTTCTATTTTGCCTTATTTTTCTAAATACTGTTTGTTAATATATAAAATTATACAACATTATATATTGTTATATCATATGCATTACTATAATAATAATAATAATAATAATAATAATAATGAAAATTTCTATAGGATGTTCTGAGACAGACAGTAACGACTCCAGAACACACAAAACAAAATACTGTCCTGCTAGACAAATAGGAAAAATTACTCCCTGAAAGAAGTCTCCTGTTCATATGACATGGGAATCGAAAGCAAAGGGAAGATAATCGAAAACTTTAATGATTTAAAGTACGAAATTTTGAAAGTCTAGGAAGCTAATATATAGAGCGTTTCAAAAGTCTATGCCACATAGAAGGACTCTTACGTCATGAACTACAGATGATAAAATGATTAACTTGTAGCATTTAAAAGCTAAAAGTATCAAGTTATCTTCTGTTGATTTAATTTTAATTTAACTTACTTTTTGAACATCACTGATTAATATATACGTCAGACATTCCAGACAGACTGATTGTGTGTTACCGCGATGGACATCTAGGTCTCCAGACTTTATCTTCTACTGGGAGTATTTGAAAGGCCTCGTGTACGTACTTCCTCTTCCCAGCGACATGACGATCTGAAGATGCGAATAACTGAAGCTTTAGAAACCATCGACAACGCTATGCTTGGTCATGTTTGGCAAGAACTGGTTTATCATTTTGATGTGTCGATTAACCTGCCGCGTTCACATTGAACACCTGTAAAAGCCTATAAAGAAACATGGAAATATTATCTTTCAGGAAATATATATTACATTTTGATATCCTGAATAGTCATTAAGATATACACCCTGTATTAAATTCAAAATAAAATTTTACGTGAAATTATCTTCTTTTCTTTTGTCATGGTTGTGAACGACAAATTAAAAACAACAAAATCAAGAAAATACGAAAAATTAAATATCTTGGATGTCATGAAATCTGAAGGCGAATTGGAATAGCGGAAGATGCCTTCTAAAAGCTAAGTAAAGTATTAAGTGACGAGAAATGTTCGTTAGAAACAAAGTAAAGACTACTGAATTATTATGTACTATCGGTCCCCAATACATTGCAGTTAATGCTTGACAGTCTTTTCACAGATGAGAAAAGAGTTGAGTAACAAAGTTGTGGGTCCACAAAACGATGCTTTGAATTCTTTAGACTGGACATGTGAGTAAGAAAGTTTTAAGGAAAATGAAAACAAAAAGGAAGATTATATTTTGTATCAAAAAGAGATAGCTGAAATTCCTAGGAAATATAATGAGGAAAGTAGGTTTGCAGAATTTAACACGCACATGATATACTGAAATCAAGAGCGACTAAGCGAAACCTACAAGTAACCTAACTAAAAAGTTTGTGTAAATGGATGGAAGAGAGAGAGAGACAGAGAGAGAGAGATGGCGAAAAGTCAAACCTTACAAAACGCTTCATAGAATAAGAAGTTGTGGAGAACCTTGATCGGCCACATCTTGAATTGGCACGGCATATAGATGAAGAACAAAAACGTGTAATAAATTTAAAAGAAATGTGATCACCGATTTTACGGAATAAAGTGTATTTTTTCTTTCCTTTCTTTCTTTTTTTTCTTTCTCCTCCCCCACTACAACTTTTGCTGATTTATCATATTTTAATTTAGAAATAAGAAAATAAAATTGACTTATTCAAATATAGATTTGTTAAAAGCATTTCACAAGAGAATACCAGCAGGTGCTGTCTGGTACGTTATAGAATACGCCGAATACAAACCCTCCAGAGGAGTTTTTAAAAAAAGTCGTCCCATATTGCTTAGGGTAGGTTAAAAAGCCAACCCACCCACAGTCCCAAAAAAAATTCAAGTATAGCAGAAAATGGCTGGTTTCCAAACTATAAATTCCTGGCTAGACACACATGGGCATTTTTAAAAATGTTTTTTTTTTTCTAGAGTGTATTTCCCAGATAATACTTAACACATTTGCCAAACCGGATAGTTTTCAAAGGTATCCGGTACTCTTACGTTTAATTTGTCTATTTGTAGACCTTGTGATCGTACTTACTATATTTTCTACTCGGATTGTGTTATTTTAATGTGTGAAATTTCTACTTTCTTATATATTTTCTGCAAATTCTGGCAAAAAACAAAAAATATCGTCCCGTGTCATTTAGGAAGCCAACCCACCTCGAAAATAGTTTTGAGAGAAATATTTTATAAATTTCAACCAAAAACAATACTGCCTGCTCGGTCAATGAATGCCAAATGTTTCCTTATAGGGAAACGGCTAAAAAAGCCACTTGACGGATAGTTGCTTTCAAAATCTAATATAAACTCGAAAAATGTTTACATATAATCTCAAGTAAAAAGACGTCCTAAATAGCATGACAGACTGGTCTCTATAAGCCTTAGACGGCAACTGGTCTACCGCAGAAAGAAATGGCAACCTACTGCGGGAAAAATTGCCTCGTCAGCCATGTTACGAAAGATACATGATCGCCTAAGCGTGTATCACGTATGGCATATAACTGACTGATGATTACCTACAGACTCAAGTTAATACCCGACCAAAGATTACATATAGACGCCAGTCTCTTGTGAATATCTATGCAGATTGATACAAACGTATATGTTTGCAACTCCAAAAATATAGACGACCAGAATCTGATCTCACTTCTCACCTAGCTTTAACAAATCAGGAATAAACTGACTG